TTGCCTTTCAGCTCCACCCTAGGAGCCTTCCAGGCAGGAAACCATGTTTGTGTTGCCTTTGTGCTGATAAATAAATGAAGGGAGACTAATATAGATCTAGTTCAAGCTATTTAGCTCTCATCAGCTAGCAGGGATTCGAACTTGGGCTGTTTTTACATATTAGGCAGTTTTATTAACCTCTAAGCCGCAAGTTCTCCTCCCTTTATCAGCTGAGCCAGGGGAGTGATTAATATTAATATTAATATATATAAAGTTGCCGTAGGCTAAGTCCTCTCTGCCGAATTACCTTCTAGCATTGAGAGAGAGAGAGAAAGATGCTGTGAGAAACGGGCTCTCTCTTTCCAGACTGTGACCCTCCCTCTTTTCCTCACAATCCCTTCCCTCTTTCCAACAGAACATGGCCGAGAAGTTTCTGGACGGCGACGTTCCCTTGGACGCCTTCATTGACGAGTATCAGAGCCAAAGGAAATTAGCTCACCTGCGGCGGGTCAAAATCGAAAAACTCCAAGAGGTGGTCCTGAAAGGACCCCGGCGGCCCCCGGTGCCCCCTCCACCCGTACTTCAGACTTCAGAGGCCAACACGCCTCCTTCGGTTATGCCTCGCCGTAACCCTCCCCCTCCCCCTCCGGCGTCCGCGGTCCCAGCAGGACGTTTCCCGACACCGTTTATGGCGGCCATGGGCCATAATCCGTACCCGTACCCTCCACTGCCCCCGAGGACGGGGGCTCCGCCACCGCCAGGCCATGGGCCGTCGCCGGGTTACCCGAATCCTTTTCTAGCGCTCTACCCGTCGACGCCGCCTCAGAGGCCCCCGCCTCGCCTTCCTCACAATCCCGGTTTTATCATGGAATGAAAACGCCATTGTTGACTCTTAACTCTTCTTGTACACTGGTGCTGGCCTTTACGAGATCCTTAAAAGCTGGAAACCCAAGCGAAGTCGTGGGGGGAAATCTACAGGGTTCCGCGCAGGAAACAGTCAACAGCTCGCGCAACGGTTTTGATCGTTTATTTTTTGTTTTAATTTAAAGAGAGAATCGGCGTCTCCGCCCAGCGGTTTCTACGAAGAACGTCAAACCAGTGTAGAATTGGTGAAATGCTTCCATGGTAGACTTGCCTTGTCCTTCCGAGGAGATTCCAGTCACCCTGGAGCCAAATCCCAGGAAATTCTTCAGTTCTTTTTTATTACTATTATTATTATTCCTTCATTGGGAAGAAGAAGAAAAAGCAATTCCAGAAAATGAAAACCTCGTTCTAATCCCCGGACGGTAGCTTTTTGAGTATATGTTCTGCGAACAGACTCCGCGTTGAAATGGCAATAAAAAAATGACTCGTGTTGTTGGCGGCAACAAACCACGTTTAGGGACTAGCGAGCTTGCGGTTCGGAGTTAGCAAATCTTTTTGTGCATTAGCCGCTGTTGGGGACGAGTTGGTTTCCCCCCCCCCACTAATGTTATCGGGGCCCTGTTTGAGCAACAGGCTGCCAATTTTCAGTGGGCAGGCGAGGGTGGGAAAACCGGCTATTTGTGAAAACCTCAGGATGTTAAAAAAATAGCAAGCGGGGATTTAGATCCCGGCGGCTCTTGAGGTTAAATCAGGAATATTTTATCTGTGCCACTGGAGCTAACACCCTCCTTCTGCTTCTTGTACCTCTCTTGGCCCTACATCCGTTCACGACTTCTGGCGTGCGATGAGGGTTGTGTGATCTCTGATATACCCTGTTTTCCCAAAAATAAGACCTCCCTGGATAATAAGCCCAATCGGAGCTTTTGAGCGCATGCGCTAAAATAAAATGCTGCAACAGCAGCAGCCATGAGGTGACCACGATCGCTTCTTCCTCCTGCACCTCAAAAATAACAAGACCTCCCCCCCCAAATAAAGCCAAGCGCTTATTTGGGGGAGTCAAAAGAAAATAAGGATGTCTTATTTTAGGGAAAACACGGTATTTTCCTAGAAGGGTTCTAGAAAGTCTTGGCTTTCAATGTATCTGGGAAACGTGAACCCAGAANTGCCGTGAATTGGACAATGCTGGCTGGCGGCCCCCCGGGGGAGGGCCTTCTCTGTTGCTGCGCCGGCCCTGTGGAACGATCTACCTGCAGAGATCCGGACCCTCACCACTCTCCTGGCCTTCCGTAAAGCCGTCAAGACCTGGCTATTCCGGCAGGCCTGGGGCTGTTGATTGATATCCAGCCCCGCTTAGATGGAATGGATGATGTGGAATTTTAATACTGTATTTTTTATTTTTATTTCTATTTTTAAATTTTAAATGTTTCTTGTCTGTTGTGAGCCGCCCAGAGTCCCTAAGGGAGTGGGCGGCATACAAATTCTAATAAACTTAAACTTAACTGGACTTTGTTTTTTTTAAAAAGACATTTCGTTTCTCATCCAAGAAGCTTCATCAGCTCTGATTGTATGGTGGGGAATGTAAGGATTTATGCTCCTTGTAGACAGCTGGTCATTTGCATCCTTTTAGAGAGTCATTGAGGCTACCTGGAGGTTAATCTCTATCCTCAGGTTCCTCTGAGTAATACAAATGGGTGCGGAGGCTTCTTTGAACTCTGTTGAGAGAGGGTTGTTCAATTTTGACATAGAGGGACCTCTTTGGCCCTCTCTTTCAAACCAGCAGTCCTCTTTGTCCAAAATGTAGACTGTGCTGTCTTTGAAAGAGTGCTCTTTGTCTTTTAAATGCAGACGTACTGCTGAATCCAGTGAGTTGATCCAGTGAGAGCTGAAAAAGCTTATTGGTTGAGAAGTGAAATGTCTTCAAGAACAAAAAACAAAAAAACTAAGAAAGTCCAGATGCCTCTTGAAAAAGAACATTTGGGACAACTATAATGTGGATGACTGAGAATCTTCCTAGACATTGCAATAATAGTTTCCAAGTAAAAAAAATTTTGAGGAACCAAATAAAAATACTATTTACATAATACATTACATCAGGTCAACCATCCAAGACTTCAAGTCAGGTGAAACCAACAAAGAGCCCTTTATTTTGCCTCCCATTTTGTAAATACTTTTATTTTTAAGATGGAGTCCTCGAAGTCAGATTTCTTGAGAGAAGGAAGGCTGAAGAGCATCTTTCTTCCTCCTGGTCTCTCGTCTCTCTTCTGTCACAACATTATCTTCTCTCTTACAACAATATCCTTCCCTACCTATCACAGGCTCCCATGGCTCAAGTGTTTTTCCAAAAAGAACGGGAGGGTTCACATTGCTCCCCAGACTCACATATTCCTATAACACAGTGGACAGGAACGTTTCCTCTCCTGCATGAGGAAAGGCATCTCTCCCTCATTGCTGTGGATCTTCCATGATTTCATTCCCACCTGGTACTCTATTTTCACTTCAAAGAGCCACTTGATGTTGTTATGGAACCACATCAAGGGCAGAAAGGCTCTTATTGTGCTCTGGAGTCAAGAGCCACTGGTTACTTATGCCTCCAATCATGATTAAGAACAGGTGGCCATGCCAAATGACTGGCTGTGTGGGGACCAAATGAAGATTGATTGATTGATTGATTGATTGATTATATTTCTATGCCGCCCTTTTCCCCGGAGGGGACTCAGGGCGGCTCACAATCCAAGTCAAGGGGGGGGGGGTACAAATAAGGAAAAGAAAAAAACACGGAACGAAACAGTACCACAATTTAAAAAGCACACAACAACCATACCATTCGAGAGGGGACAAA